CTTGCCAGGCAAGTGCTTATTCTACTGAGCTATCTCCTTGGCCCATTTCTTTGTTTTTTTTAATCAATTTTAGACTCTTGTACTCAACTTCCCTATAAAAGATTACTTCCATCTTTCTTTTCTGCCTCTTTCTTGAGTTTGTTCCTTATTCTATTATATTTTATATTGTGTCTTTTTGGCTGTGATTACTTTTAGAACTTCATTTTTATTTGTTTGTTTTTGAGGCAGTATCTCACTCTATGGTTTAGGCTGGCCTCAAAATTGTGGTGATTTTCTTGCTTCACTTTCTTGTGTGGTGGGATTATAGGCATATGGCAACACACCTAGCTGCTTTTTGAATTTTAAATAATGTACTTTAACATATTTTTTTATTCCATGAACTGTAATAAAAAGTACTAATTCCATGTGGGGTGAGTCTTTTCTTGCTCCCACTGATACGCATGGTCTCATATTTAGGAGCCTTCTTGCATGGCAATGGGTTCACATATGTAACCAGAAGGACAAGACGCAAGGATGCCTGACTTCTAAAATGAAGATGTTCCATATTATTACTTTGCTCTTTCTTGGGAGAGGCTAGCTGCTCTGTCATGAGGACTCTTCAGCAACCCTTAGGAATGGTCCACGTGGCAAAGAACAGAAGTGACCTGCAAGTGAATGAGTGATGGATTTCCGAGCCATGTGAATGAGTTCTCCTGGAAGGCCGTCCTTCCATCCTAGTCAAGTCTTCAGGTAGATGCCTGGAGGCTGAAGCCGACTCCCACACAGCAGTCCCGCAAAAGACCCAGAGTCAGAACCCTCTACCTTTTTGCTCCCAGAGTTCTTTTGGTTGACGTTCCAAGACAAATAGGTTTACTAGTCTTTTAAGTCATTAAGGTTTTGGGAGGAGACATTTCTTCTGCAGTAATAGATAACTGATACATGGATCCTAGGTAAGATGTCATTTTCTCTTCAGAGTAACTTCCAGTTCCTTTCCTCACCTCTAACTCTTCTAATTTCTGCTAGTTTTTGTCATTATTTCATTATATGGTCTATGATGTTTATATGCTGTTCTTTAATTATAATTTTAAAATGTAACCATATATGTTTTATTTAAATGATGATTTTAAAGATAGAAATAAAAACAGCATTTAAATAATGATAATTATGATGTATTATCCTCATTATATAAACATGTAATATAATCTAACACTGCACCAACAGGCGTAAACAGTGGAGAACAAAGTACTCTCCTGTCTTGCCAAATCTGTAGCTTTTGGGGGTAATGCCTTCTATCTGATCTAAAATATTTTTGTAAGTTTTTAAAAAACTTTTCTCAGAATTCCAAATTTGTCTTTTAAATTCCTATTGAGAAAATAAAATATGCTTCACTGGCAAATCACTAAGTTCCTTTAGTCTCTAAATCAAGTTTTTCATCAAAAGTTAGATGAATAGTAGCATTTAGAAGTGTAAAGATTCTTTTTTCATTGACACATAGTAATCATACATATTTATGAGGTATAGTGTGTTAATTCAAAATTTATATACTGTAATGATCATATCATGATAATTAGAATTTTCATCTCCTTAAACTTTCATAATTTCTCTGTATTAGAAACCTTAAATTCTTCTCTTTTAGTTTCTTGTAAGGGCTTGGGATATAGCTTAGTGGCATAAGTGCCTGCCCGTCAAGTGCAAAGTCCTGAGTTTGATCCCAGAAACACAGCTTTTAAAATAAATTATATAGTAGCTGGACATAGTAGTACATACCGGCAACCTAAATACTCTGGGAGGCTGAGATCCTCCCAGAAGGATCTCAAGTTTGAGCCCATCCTGAGCAATTTAATGACCTAGCAAGATCCCTATAAAAATACAAAAGGCAATTTATTTAGTCTTTTATTTTAATGAGAATAAAAAACAATAAAACTGACACAGAATTTCAAAACAAGATGATGTGAAATTAACAATGGTTGTTGCTCAGATTACTGGCTATGGGCATGAAAATTCATCCAGCAATATAAGCACTGTTCTTTTCAGAAAACTAATAGAAATTAGTAGCATATTTCTCTTCCTTTTTTCTCCTTTCTTTTATCTCAGTGTTTTCTTTTTGAGAAGTTTTTCCTGTAACACATATATCTATCATATCTTTCAGATTTTATTTACTCTTTCAGTTTCTTACACTAGAGAGACAAAACAATGTTTATACATGTGAGTCTGATTTAATTTTGAGCATGGTCTTGAGTTACATCCATTTACCTATAAAAGTCTTGAGCTTTTCTTTATAGCCAAGTAATACCCCACTGTATAAAAACACCACATCTTTTTTTTTTTTTAAATCCATTCCTTGGTTGATGGGCAATTGGGTTGTTTCCAAGATTTAGTTATGACAAATTGTGCTGCCAAAAACATGGATGAAAATATATTCTTGTGGTGTGATGTTTTCATTTCTTCTGAGAAAACACTCAGAAGGGGAAAAGCTGGGTCTAATGGGACCTCTAATCCTAGTTTTTTTTTTCATACACAATAACAGATTTATACATATTAGAAATAAGATCCAGTCTGCCATTCAAAAAGTCATACAGTATCTCATTTAGAGGATGCCTAACAAAATATACATCTTAAAAATTCAGTATTCCAGAATGCTTTTTACAATTATTTCCATTTAAGAATCAGGGATTTAAAAAATAAGTAACAACCATAGACACAACTTCACAATAATGTGGATAATATGCAAGAAACATCATGACTTTTGGGGGTATTTGTGACTAACCATACACTAGATGGGGACTACAGTTCAGAAGTGCAAAGCCCAAGGAGCCTCCCAACAAAAGGACCTCCAGGGATCTTCTTTCCCTTATGAAAGACATGGGAGGTAGACTGGATTCTAAGCTTTACCAGAAAGTGCACATCCATCTTCTTACCCAGACTACCAACCACATCAACTGTCAAACCATTTGCTCCTCTTTGCAAGAGGTGCACCTTTAGAAGGTCCTAACAGTTTCTGCTTATATTGTTCAACCAGGTGGTTGAAGTGAGCTTCTGTCCTGTTTCCCTTGGCTTTTCTTCTAGGAATCTGCTTGGATGACAGCTGCTGTTTCTCTTGCTTCCACTGCTTTATCTGGGGCTTAGGCTTCTTAGGAGGGAGGGACTTCACTTTGCCTTTGTCTCGCAATCTAATTTTGGGTCCTCGATGAGAGGGGAGCGCCAGGACCTTCCTTCTCTTCTTTCCATTGGGCAGTTCCACCTGTTCTACTTCAGCCTTGGTCTGGAACCCTGCCCATGAGGTGGAGCCCACCTTCCCCTTCTGCCCTGGGGGAGCCTTGTTTTGATCCTGTGAGTAGTTTTGAGCTGCCTTCTGTTGCTTCTCTTTTATGGGTGCTTTCTTCTGCTTTTGAGGCTCACCGGTTGCAGGCTTCAATTTCATTGTTTGCAGGCTGCGCTAGATCCTCATTTCCTTCATTTTAAGTTTCCTTCGATCTTCCTTAAGAGACCAATAGACTCCACTATTGGTCTCTTAAGAGGCCCAAAGATTTCTGGGTTGTTATTGATGTGGCGGAGGGCTCTCAGGGCATGCTCGTGCTCCTGGAACTCAGCAAAGGCATAGCCCAGGGACTGCCCCTTCATGTTCCCATGAACTCTTTTAAGGTCTTGCATCACCCTGCACTCCTTGATGCGTACTCCCTTCTCCTCCCTAGTGGCATTCAGCAGCAGCTTTCTCAGCTGTTTGTCATCCACAGCCTTGGGAAGATTGTGCAGGCAGAGCCTGGTCTGGGAGACAAAGATATTCTGGTCCTTAAGCTTCTGATGCTTCAGTAGCTCAAAACGTTCTCGTTTGGCCATATCAGCAGCACTCACACCCTCAGCAGCCTTAGTTCCAGCATGGATCAAGCCTTCTCGAGCCAGATAAAGGTTCCGGGTCCCAGTGGGCTTCTTCACTTTCTTTGTCTGAAGTTTTGCAGCCTCATCACGGGTCACAGCCAAGTCAACCTTGAGCTGCCGGCCATCCAGTTTAAGCCCACCACCTTCAGTCTCTGGAGAAGCAGCAGTGAGGCATTTCTGAGCAGCTTCTTGAGTCATGAATTGGACAAATGCACAACCTTTAGAATGCTCTGTGTCTGGATGCAAGACGATGCGGACATATTTAAGATCTCCAAACTGCTGGAGGAGCTCCCCAAGTTCTTCTTCCTCTGAGTCAAAGGACAGGTTTCTGATAAAAACAGTTTTCCCTTCATTCACATCAGAGGGTAATTTCCTCTTTTTTGTCTTTGAGATTTGCACATCTTCATCTTCCTGTTCTTCAGCACTGCTATCATTTGGTAACAGTTCTTCATCACCATCAATGCTACTTCTTTCCTCCAGGTCACTGTCCTCCTGTGAATCATCTTTGTTGCTGCATTCTACAGGGGCTGCTTTCTTGACTGTTCTCTTCTGAACTTTCACATGCTTGGTCACCTCTGATTCTTCCTCCTCCTCTTCCTCTTCATCACTGTCATCCGCATCACCATCAACCCCAACATCATCATCATCATTCTCTTCCACTCTGCTCTTCTTTCTAACTGACCCCTGAGGCATAGGTTCAAAGCAGTTCTCACCTGGAGCAGAAACAGACTGTGTATCTTTATATTTATCCTTCGCCACAGCCCAGTCCACTGCCACTGTTTGCCCTTTTATGTCTTTCATGTTCATGTCTTTGAGAGCTCTTCCTGCTTCTAGGAGATTTTTGAACTGAACAAAAGTAAAACCACGCATCTTTCCATCTGGCTTTCTTGGAATGTTCACTTCTAGTACAGTTCCAAATTGAGTAAATACCGTTTTCAAGTCATCTTCTGAACACTTAAAGCTCAGGTTCCGAATAATTAATCTGGCTTTTTTATCTGTCACTTTGGCTTTCTTAGTTTTCAGCTCCTTCTTGGGAGATTCTGAATTTTCATTTTTCTTTCTTTCCTTGGATTTGTTCCTCACTTTTTTCTTGGCAACAGTGATGTTGATCTTGCAACCTTCAAAGGTAGTGATCTCCTTGAGGGCCCTCTGAACATCTTCGGCCATGGAGAAAGTAACATAGCCAAAGCCTCGACATACCTTACTCCCTTTCTCAGTCACCATGAAGCACTGCTTCACCGGCCCCACCTGACTGAACAGCTCCTCCAGCTGCTCGCTGCAGGCCGAAGGCGGGAGGTGGCGCACAAACAGGGTCAGGCCCGCCATAAGACCAGGAAACCGAGGCGCGTGACGCTACAGGCGCCCAGGCCGGGGCAAGCGACTCGAGAAGCTGGTTTTAACAGGACGACCGCGCCGAGGGACCACTTAACCCCGGAAGTGCTCGTCGGTCAAAAAAAAAGCTCTAATCCTAGTTTTTTGAGGAATCCCTACACTGATTTCCACAGTGGTTGCACCAGTCTGCACTCCCACCAGCATTGGACAAGGGTTCCTTTTCTCCCACAGTCTTGTCAGCATTTGTTATTGGTTGATTTCTTAATGATAGCCATTTTTTCTGGGGCAAGATGGAATCCCAGTGTTGTTTCAATTTACATTTCTTGATCAATGATGCTGAACATTTTTCATGTATTTATTTGCCATTTGCATTTCTTCATTTGAGAAGTGTGTATTCATCTCAGATGCCCATTTTTGGATTGGGTCTTTGGATTTGGGGGATCTGATTTGTTTTTTAATTCTTTATATGTTCTAGATAGAAGGCCTTTGTTGGAATGACAGTCGGCTAAATTTTTTTTTCCTAATTTATGGGTTTTCTTTTCACTTCATTGATGATTTCTTTTGATGTGCAAAAACTTTTTAATAAGATGAGATCCAAGTTGTTGATCCTTTGAGGTATTTCCTTTTGTAGTTAGGACATAAAGCATTTTAAAAAGTGCTGAGATGTAGCTCAGTGCAAAGGCTGTAGATTCAATTCCTAGTATCAGGGAAATCATTATGAATTCTAGTCACTGTACAATGCCCTAGAACATTAGAGTTTATTCCTCCCAAGTAACAGTATATTGGTGTTGGGTATTTTACTGAAATGGAAGGCAATAAATTGGAGACTGGCTAGCATTTACCATAACAATTGTCTCTGAAGAGGCTCCTTATATCCCTCCATTATAGACAGGGTATGGAACAAATGAATGCTTACTAATTGAAAGTATGTCTATTACCATCCTTGAACTGTCACCACTTCTGTTGGGGAAGGGGAATGTTTCTAGGTAGATTGAGAAGGCAAGATGCCATGAATTGTTTCACATTTAATGAGAATTGTTCTATTCAGCTTTTCTATTTTGAGAAGAAACCAGCCTTTACATATATATATATATATATATGAATGTGGGCTTTTACTGAGAAGAGAGATAAGACTTTTTCAACATATCTGGGACTTCTGAAAGTAAGTCCTCCTTGGGAAGGAAAGGACTAAAATAAGACAATGAAGACATATGGTGTAATCAGCTTTTCATTGTCGTGACAGAATATCTATTAGTAACAAAGTGACAAGGTTGGTTTTAGCACATGGTTTCAGATGTGCAATTTCCACTGGTTTTAGGTCTGAGGAGAAAGAGAACCAGCATGGCAGGGGACATGGCACAAGAAAGCCACTTATCTACTGTAGCCTGGAAACAATGCATGGGGCCGAGAACTTGTGATCATGGACACCTTTCTCCGGCTCGTGCTCCCTCTGTGCCTCCCTGCTGAATGGCGATGCCGTGTTTAGGTCTCCCCCACCAGCACGTAGCTGTCCTGTGCACCAGTGGTCTCCCAGACAAACCCAGAAATATGCTTTACTCATTTCATAGACATCTGTAAATCCAATAGATTGATGAGGTTATACTCTTACTACTTTGATGTCAATTTCGTGTTTTTTGGGCTGGTGAGATGGCTCAGTGGTCTAAAGCACCTACTTAGAACAAGCTTAGCAAAGCACAGGGTCTGCGGTTCAATCCCCCAGCACCACATGCCAGCCAGTCCCGCCCCCTGGTGGGCTGAGCTGCACCCCCACAAATAAATTTTAAAAAAAATTAAAAAAAAATATCGTGTTTTTTCAGAGACTGAATTTTATCTCTATTCCTTCTGTTTGTGCTCTTTGTTCTCACCGTCTTCCTCAATCATAGAAAGGAAGGATTCTTGGCATGAATGAGCAGCACTAGGAGTTTTGTAAGTCAATTTCTATCTTCTTTACTTGTTCTGTGAACCTCTTATTCATGCACTATGAATTTGCCCCAATCAATGTGTAACAAAGTCCAGAGATCATCCTTCTGAAGCAGCTATGTGAAGACAAAGGGTGGAATTAAGTTGACTTTCCTTGCGGAAAAGCTGGCAGCATCTCTAAAGTTAATAATTTTTACTTTTTAAAATCTTCCTAAGCACACTGTGCTCATTTCTCTGACTGCAGTGTTATAATGTAGGCAGCAGTCTTTTTTGTAACTTTTGAAAAATTCTCCTTTACAAGGTCTGTCCATGGAAGCATGAACTTATTAACAGTTGGTAAACTGAGCAGCAGCCTGGTCTGTTTTCATGGCCAGATCTCACCTCAGGAAGCAACAGCCAGGAAAAACTCTTGATAGAATCTAGAGTAGAAGTCACTGTTTGCTACAGGCTGTGGGATTGTCTCATATAACAAACATGGTGGATGAATTCTTCAAGATTCTAAGTTTTGAGATTTTTATCAGGAAATATATATATTTTGATGTTTACCAAGAATCAGTACCAGTGGTGGAGGTGTAGCTCAGTAGTAGATTATATTGTTGGTATGATCAGGCTTGGCTTGGAACCCTGCGTGTGTGTATGCACACACACTCACACATACCTGTGTGGACAGTTCTGTTCTATTTGCTGCAGTTTGAGTGAGTACCCCAAAAGATTCAAGAGTTAACGACTTGGTCCCCATGGGGACACTATTGGGAAGTGCTATGCACCTTTGGGAAATGGGAATTTATGGAGGGTTGTTTCGTCTTTGGGGGACCTGCTTCTCAAGGGGATTGCAGAACCCTCATTTCTTCCTTTCTTTTCTTCCTAACTGATGATGAAAAAAGTGTGCTCCTGCCATGATGTGCTTACTGCCCTTGATAGTGTCCCAAAGAAAAGGATCATTTGATCTTGGACTGGAACCTTTTTTAAAAAAAAATTTTGCAGTACTGGGCATCGAACCTGGGACCTTGCACTTGCCAAGCAGGCACTTACACTGTTGAGCTATCTCCCTGGCCCCTAGGACTGGAACCTTCAGAACTCTGAGCCAAAGCAAACCTTTTCTATTTCTAAGTTAATTACTTCAGTTATTTTGTTATAGGAATAGAAAGGTGATTCATATGTTGTTTAAAATAAATCTTTTCACCTGATTCACATGTCTCAGTGGTAAGGCTTATTATCTTTTTGAAGGTTAAGGACAGAAAAAAGGGATGAAATCCCTCTGTATCCCTCTCTATATTATATGTTTGTCATCTTTTCTACCATGTACTTTTACTCTATTAGCTTCCTTGGAATAGGGTCTTATCTTATTATTCTTTCTCCTTCTGTGTCTAGCGTGGTGCTTGTCTATAGTGATACTTAGCAGACATTGAAATTTCTGATTCAACCTGAACTTTAAACATACCTTAATTATAGCCTTACTATAATTTGCCTTCATTGTTAGAAATACTTGGAAAACCCATCACTCACTGTAGTCTTGTGCCATTTTATCTTGTGATTAAAATACAATAGCTTTGGATTAAAAAGAAATTTCATGTTTCTTTTTCTTTGTTAAAATGTCAATTTAATTGGCATCATCAATACTTTTAGGGTTGTTAGATAAAATGCAAGTTGCTCATTAAAAATTAAATTTTAGGTAGGCAATGAGTAATTTTCATATAATCAGATAAAATTATTTATCTGATTTTGTTCGTGTGTGTGTGTGTGTGTGTGTGTGTGTGGTACTTATCCTTAACTCTTTAAAAATAATTTTTTTTTTGGCCATCTGTGGTGGTGCATGCCTATAATCTCAGTACTTGGGAGGCTGAGGCATGAGGAAGGTTGCGAGTTTGAGACCAGCCTAGACTACAAAGTGAGCTCAAGACCAGCCTGAACTGTATAATGGGATTCTGTCTCAAAAAGATTAAAAAAAAGTTTTTTTTGAGACAGAGTCTTGCTATGTAGTTCAAGTTGGCCTTGATGCGTGTCTGTCCCAGCTCCTCCCTTTTCTCTCTGCTTCCTGGCTGCCAGGGCATGAGCAGCTGTCCTCCACCAGACCTGCTATGACCTTTCTGCCTTTGACCCAGCTGATTACAGACTAAAATAAACCAAAATAAATTTCTCCTTCTTTAAGTTGTGGGTGTCAGGATTTTTGGCCCAGCAGTGAGGAAGTAACTCAGATACCTGCTTTATCTAGCAACTCAGCCCCTCCTGCAGGCCTACTGATATTCTACACGAGAGTTCCCATCCTAGGTGTTAAAGAAGCTAATGGAGAGGTAAAATCTTATGCCAAGATCCAACTCAGAAGTCATGCTCCATCAGGCCAGTATCTTTTCCCAGTGAACTATCTAAATTACAACTAGGTGTAAATAAATATCTAACCTAGAACACATGGCAGTATCCGGATTTTTCACCTTTTTGGAAAGCTAATTTATAGCATATGTTATGCCTGAGTAGCAAAAAGTACTGAGATGTAGTGCAGAAATACAGTGAGTGTGGAAACACAAGTCTCAGATCTTCTTCATGGGATTCTGAAAAATAAACTTCAAACTTCCTGGCTTTAGTGCATTACAGTTATTGTATTCTTTATTTCATTCATTATTATATTGTGTGTCATTAAATAATTATGCAACTCACCATAATACATAATTTGTAGTACCCTTGAATTTACTTCCCTACAACTAGACATGAGGCACTAGCGTCACTAGCATGATGAAACTATCATGCATGCATCAGCATATTTAGGTGGGTGCATAATGGGAAAGAAGCGTGGACAGAAGTGGTAAATAAAACTGGGCAGGCCAAGTGCAGAATAAAATAAGTGATGGATTCTGACTTAATGCCTGCTACTTGATGCACTGAGTCACTTGCCACTCACTGTTGAAGTTTTGATATGTATCTATAAACAACTGATTTATGATGACTACTATTGTAGCCAAACCTCTCTGTTAATATTAATCTGTATTTATAATCTTTCCTCAGTACTAACATCAATGCCTCAGCTCCACCTCAGATCATCAGGCATTAGACTCTCATAAACAGAATGAAAACTAAATCTG